TTCAATGGATTGGATAATGCCTTCCTATATTGGGAGGACATTCTATTTCACTGAGTCTACAGATTCCAGTTGACACGTGAAATTAACTATCACAGACTCCCTCTCTCTCTCTCTCTCTCTTTTTAAATCTGCCATCCGCATACTAAAGACTCCTCTTAATGGGAAAAGTTGTAACAACTTTATGGCCATATTTAACCTCCCACGGGTAACTACAAACATCTTAAAGTAAATATAATATTCAATAATTTTATGTTGAAAGCAACATAACAGGAACAAGATATAGATACCCAATATCACTATTTCCATTTAATACATTACTAGAGGTTTTAGCCACTGCAATAGGCAAGAAAAAGAAATGAAAGTTATATAATTGGAAAGAAATAAAATGGTCATTATTTTCTACATAGCTGGAAACAGAAAGTAAGAAAAATGGCTAGACTATTAGAATTAATTAGTTTAATTAATAATTCAGCAAAGGTGTTAGCTTCAAGACCAACATACAAAAATAATTGTATTTCTATATTTACACTGAAAACAATTAGAAAATAAAAATTTACATTAAAAATGACATGAAATATTAAATGCCTAGAATAAATCTAACAAAGATGTGTGCAGTTTCTATATTTAAAAACTGTAAAGCATTAAGAGAAATTACAGACACCAAAATAAATGGAGAAATATATCATTTTTATGGATTGAAAGATTCAACCCCACATAATGCTGTTATTAGTCTCCTAAGGCTGCTTTAATAAAGTACCACAAACTGGGTTTTTTTTTTTTTAAAAACAACAACAACAACAACAAAAAACACCCAGAATTTATTATCTCACCATTCTTGGGGCTAGAAGTCTAAAATTAAAGATCGGTAGGGTCATGCTTTCTCAGAAAACTATACGGGAGAATCTTTTCTTGCCTCTCTTAGGTTTTGGTGTTATCAACAATCCTTAGCATTCCTTGGCTTGCAACTGCAGTACTTCAGTCTCTGCTTCCATCACTGCATGGGGTTCTCCTCGCGTGTGTATGCCTCCATATCTTCTCCTCTCTTAAGGACACCAGTCATCATGGATGAAGTGCGCACCTTCCTTCAGTATGGCCTCATCTTAACTAATTACATCTGCAACAATCCTATATGACTAAATAAGGTCCCATTTTAAGGGTTAGAACTCCAACGCATCTTTTTAGGTGACACAATTCAACACAATGAATAACAAATACCAATTCTCCAAAACAGGCATACCACTTCAGTGTAATAGTAAACAAAATCCCCATAGATTCTAAAATTTATAAGGAAAGTTTTGTCACAACTGGCAAGCTGATTCCAAAATTTACATGAAGATGCAAAGGACCAAGGAAAGTAAAGATAATCTTGAAGGACATAATAGGAGAGAGGACTTTTTCTATCACATACTAAGATTTATTATAAAGCTATTACAGAAATTAAGACAGTATGGTATTTCCACAAGGAGAAACAAAAGGAACAGCCTTCATAGTCCTGAAACAAACCCATATATATATATATATATATATATATACACACACACACACACACACAGACAACTGATACATGACAAAGGTGTCAATGCAGAACAGTGGGGAAAAGGACAGTCTTTTTAAAAAAATAGTGCTTAATCCATGTAAAATTCACATGGAAAGGTTGAAATCTGACTTACCTTACACTATACACATAACCCAACCTCAGCTGGATTATAAAACTAAATGTGAAAGACTAATAACATTTCTAGAAATTTTCTTCATTTGGTAGGAAAATATTTCTTAAAGAGTATACAATAAGCACTAAGCACAAAGGGTTTTTTGTTTGGTTTTTGGATGCAGTCTTGCTCTGTTGCCCAGGCTGGAGTGCAGTGGCACAACCTTGGTTTACTGCAACCTTTGCTTCCCGGTTCAAGTGATTCTCCTGCCTCAGCCTCCTGAGCAGCTGGGACTATAGGTGCACACTACCATACGCGGCTAATTTTCTTTTTTTTTCCTGTGGCAGAGTCTTGCTCTGCCACCCAGGCTGCAGTGCAGCTGTGCGATCTTGGCTCACTGCAAGCCCTGCCTCCAGGGTTCAAGTGATTCTCCTGCCTCAGCCTCCCTAGTAGCTGGGATTACAAGTGCCCACCATGCCCAGCTAATTTTTGTATTTTTAGTAGAGACAGGGTTTCACCATGCTGGCCAGGCTGGTCTCAAACTCCTGGCCTCAAGAATTCCACCTGCCTCAGCCTCACAAAGTGCTGCTATTATAGGTATGAGCCACCGCACTAGGCCACAAAGGTCTTTTAAGTTCATCAAAAGACACCAATGAGTGAAAAGGCAAGCTACTGAGTGGGAGAAGATATTTGCAATATATGCAGTAGTCCTCCCTTATCCATGGGGATATGTTCCAAGATGTTCCACAGATGCCTGAAACCTCCAGTAGTATTGAACCCTATATATGCAATGCTTTTTCCTATACATACATATCTATGATAAAGTTCAATTTATAAATTAGGCACAGAAAGAGACTAACAACTAACAATAGAACAATTATAATATACTTTAATAAAAGTTGTTTAAAACTTAAGAATTATTTGTTACTGGAATTTTCCATTTAATATTTTCAGACCGTGGTTGATTATGGGTAACCAAGACTTCAGAAAGCAAAACTGTGGATGAGGGGCGCTATTGTATATTCAAAAAAGACTTATCTTAGTGTATTCCTGATTGCCAAAAGAAAATGCCACAGACTGTGTAATTTATAAATGGTAGAAATTTATTTCTCACAGTTCTGGAGGTTGGCAAGTCCAAGATCAAGGCACTGGCAGATTTGTTGTCTTGGAATTACTCTCCAATTCCAAGATGAAACTTTGTTGTTGTCCTCTTGCTGGGAGGAACATTGTTATCATACAGTGAGGGGTTAAAAGGGCAAAAGGAATGAACCTTTGTGAAAGGCATGAATACCCTCTTTTGTAAGGGCATGAATCCCATTCACGAGGATGGAGTCCTCATAGCCTAACCCCTCCCAAAGGCTCCACTTCTTATACCATTGCCTTAATGTTTAAGTTCCAATATATGAATTTTGAAGGGACACATATATTCAAATCATAGCAGGACTGATACCTAGAATATATGCCCATAAGAAAATGTCAATGCAATACAAAAATGAGCAAGAGACTTGAACAGGCACTTATGGGAGATATCCAGATACCCAAAAAACATGAAAATGGGCTCAGCCTCATTAATAATCCGGGAAAATGCAAATTAAAACCACAATGAGATACCACTATACCCCCTTCAGAATGATTATAATTAAAAAGATGTGCAGTAGTAATTATTGGCAAGGATGTTGGGAAACTGAAACTCTCATACATGGCTGAAGGGAGTATAAACTGAAACCACCATTTTCTAAAATTGCCTGAGATTATCTACCTAAATTTTACATATACATAACAAGCAATTTCACTTTTAGGTATAAACCCAACAGAAATGTGTGGATATGTATCCCTGTTAAATAAAAATTGTAGGCCATTGTTTTGGGCTAAGTTCCTGCACTAGGTCTCAATGAATCAGACTAAAAATCAAAATGGAGTCACTCACACTGAGGTTCCATGTCATCAAATGGAAACTACCTTGTTATCTGAAGTTCTGAAAAGTCAGGAAAAAGAGTCTAATTTCCCCTGAGTGCCAGTTTCAATTAGCATAACAATGAAATTCCTTCTGCTTTAATCCTTACCAAAAAAAGGTAAACTGAAGTTACCTGATGTTAACCAATCAGTTATTTCTCTATTGTTTTGTTTCTCGGTTCTGCTTTACAAGGAAAATAACTTATTTATTTATTTTTTGGAAAGTTACTTTGAAATGGACCAATCTGTTTTCTATTCTTATTTCTGCTCTCTCCAGCCCTTCTCTGTCTATAAAACCTAACTCTTCTGCTCAGCTCATTGGAACACTTGTTCTATTTTCTGGAATGAAGTGTTTCCAGATTCTAGAATCACAAATGAAGCTAATTGAGATCTTTAAATTAAATTTGTTGTAATTTTGTCTTTTAACACCACCAGTGACAAGAATGTTCACAGAAGCATTACTCCTAATAGCCACAAATTGGAAACAACTCAAATGTCCATCAATAGACGATTAAAATTGTACCATATTCACAAAACAGAATACTATACAGCAATTAAAATGAACAGTCACAAATCACAGATGTACCTGTGAAACAATGAATAAAAAAACCCAAATCTCAATTTTGAGCAAGTTAACTAATCTTTTCATTTCTATCTCGAGATTAAAAAATTATACCTCCTAGGGTTAAATGGTGAGGATTAAGTGGGATGGTGCATGTGAAGTGCTCAGCAAGCCAAGCATTTTTTAATATCATGCTCTCTCAGTAGGCCAACTTTCAGGAAATGGGCACTAAAGAATGCTACAGATTAGCTGGATGTGGTGGCACGTCCCTGTAAGCCCAGCTACTCGGGAGGCTGAGGCAGGAGAATCACTTGAATCCAGGAGGCGGAGGTTGTAGTGAGCCGAGATTGCGCCACTGCACCTGCACCCCAGCCTGGGCAACAGAGTGAGACTCTGTCTCCAAAACAAACAAACAAACAAAAATGCTATAGAGCACTTATAGTGCCTTCTAACGCCACTGATAATTCTTCCTCAAACTCCTTCCCCCTTCCTCCACCTTTTCACCATTGAGCCTCGGTCTCTTTAAGAAGTGAACCATAACTGAGGAAAGAGGAATGCTGGGAAGTTCTCCTCAGCTCAGGTCCGGAGCCTGACGGGAAAAGAGGGCGGAGACTAGGCCTGCGCACGCGTGGTTGGCCGGCTGCTGCGTTGTGATGGATCAGGCGGAATTCCAGAAGAGAAACTAATCCTTGTCTAGGCGCAGAGGGCTTGGTTCATATTCGCAAATTCCCCGTCCGGTGCTCTTCCGGTAGCAGGGAGGCGACAGAAGGTGGGTGCGGCCGCAGTGGTAGTGGGCGGGACGGCGGGGCGGAGGCCACGCCACGTGACGAGGCGTTGCGGCGGGGGCGGTGCCAGGTGGGCTACGCTGCTGGGGCGGCTGCGGATTTCGCCTTAGGGACGCGTTGACACTCACTGGCTGGTCCGCTGCTCTCAGTCGGAGACCACGTTGCCTCGTTAGTCCTCAAAGATGGGCGTGGGAATTCTTGGTGGGAAGGAGAATTTCGGAACGCGTGCTGTTCTCAGAGGAGGGATGAGCGCCCGTAGATGTTTGTGGCGAGTGCGCAAAAGTTCTCATCTCTTCTTTGGAACAGTCTTTTCAACCAGTTGTGCGTTTCCATCCCTGACTATTCGGATAAAGACAACTTTGAAGAGCTTTTTGTTTTAGGTTTAATTCGTCCCGTTTAGTTCTTTGACTTTTAGGGGAAGGGAATTTACTGAATGGCCAACTGAGTTTCTTTTCTACAGGAAGGCGATTGTGAAGCGGGTCTCAGAGGGGCTTGATGTCCCCCACCCCTCACACGGAGACCTTGAAAGAGGCAGGTGACTCACTTTCAGTAAGGGCGTGCATGTTGTTCGCCTGCGATGGATGGCATCTTGAGCTCACCTCTAGCGTTAGGCCAAGAAATGGGGCCCTTAGGGAGGCTTCCAGTGAAGGTTGAGTTACGGGTCAGGGCTGGGAGGTTGTTCTGCCCCTCTTTGAGAAATAAAAGGCGACGTGGGCCTCTAAGTACTGACTCTCATGGGGTCAGAAACTATTTCTTAAGTCCATTCTTCTCAGAGTTTGGTAACTTCCTCCCACGTCTTGGTCTGCTGGTCTAATTCCCTTCAATAAACTTCAACGTAGGAAAGACCAGAGTGTGTGTCTTTAAAGATACTAGAGAAGTGGGAGCTGTTGCTGGAAAGCTGTTTTCTTATGTAGCTACTGAAGGAACAGAAAGCAGGAAGAAAGAAAAAAGTTAGTTGTGGCCCCAGAAGAGTTGTTTTTCAAATGCTGAGCCGTGAAGCCTCATGCACTCAACACAAAGCTTTTCTTTCATATAGATAAGCCTGAAGAAAAAAAAAATAATAATAAACCTGAGTATGTATTTTAGGTGTCCAGCTATCCATTACCAAGAAGAAATCTATTCGTTTGAGCCTGAAGAACTCTTTGAGGTAAAAAATTAGAATGAAAGAACCTTTGGATGGTGAATGTGGCAAAGCAGTGGTACCACAGCAGGAGCTTCTGGACAAAATTAAAGAAGAACCAGACAATGCTCAAGTAAGCATTTCATCTTGATTTAAACATTTTAAAAAATTCCTTCTTTTCCGTCTGGTCAACTGAAAAATTTTAGTTAGGCAGTTTCTGGTTTGTAAGTTTAAAATAACCCAAACTGAGACAGGCTCTCGCTGTCGCTCAGAGTATTTATAGTGCAGTGGTGCGATCTCCTTGGCTCACTGCAGCCTCCACCTCCCAGGCTCAAGTGATCTTCCAACCTCAGCCTCCTGTGTAGCTGAGACCACAGGGCACACACCAACACGCTCAGCTATTTTTTTGTATTTTTGGTAGAAATGGGGTTTGGCCACGTTTCCCAGGCTGATCTCAAACTCCTGAGCTCAAGCAATCCACCCGCCTTGGCCTCCCAAAGTTCTGGGATTACAGGCATGAGCCATCATGCCTGACTGGTTTTTTGCTCTTTGAATGAAAGCTATAACTACGTGGTTTTGTTTGTGTGGAAGGAAAGTAGTATATTTACCATTTTTCCATACTTGTCATTAAAAAAAATTCTCTTGTATCTGGTAGTACTTTTCTTTATTCTGTTAAGAATTTGTGGTCTGTGCTAGTCTCTGGGTATCCAGGACTGAGCAAAGTCAGCTTAGTCCCTCCCTTGTAGAGCTTATATGTTAGTAGAGGAGGCAGAGATTACAAAAGTATTGGTCAAATAATATATATAATTACAAACTATGACAAGTACTCTGAAAGAAAAGCCTAAAGTGGGGATCTGACCTAGTTTTGGTTGTGGTCTGAGGCCTGGGAATGGCTAGGAAAGGCCTCTCTAATGAAAGGATGTGTAAGCTGAATTATGAAGAATGAATTGATTAGGCAAAGGGCATGGAAAAGAGTATTACAGACAGAGGAAATTGTGAATAGGAAAGCCCTGAGTGGGGAAGATGCATGGTTCTTTTTAAGACCTGTGGGAACAGTGAGCCTGGAACAGAAAAAGTATGAAAATGGTGATGAAGATAATGAAACAACAACAATAAAAATAGATGGCGTTAGTATATCAGTATGTAGTATATATTATATCATAATCATATGTGACATTATTAACTTAATGCTTATATATGCTTAAGAGTGTGTCAGGCACCATTTTTACCACCATATTATTGTCTCCATTTTACAGATGAGGAGACCAAAGCTCAAAAAAGCCAAATAGTTTACCACGGATCACAGTTAGTAGTAAATGACAAAGACTGAATTCAAATCCAGGTGGTCAGACTCCAGAACCTGTGCTATTCTGCTTCTCTATGATACGGCTGTATATATAGTTTGAGGCTGGATTATGCAGGACCTAGTGGACCTTGTTATAAATTTTGGTTTTTATCCTAAGAGCAGTTCATAGCCATTATACGTTTTTTTTGTTTGTTTGTTTTTTGTTTGTTTTTTTTTGAGATGGAGTTTTGCTGCAATGTTGTGTTCTTGGTGGCTCACTGCAACCTCCACATCCCAGGTTCAAATGATTCTCCTGCCTCAGCCTCCCCAGTAGCAGGGATTACAGGTGCCTGCCACCACGCCTGGCTAATTTTTTTTTTTTAGGTGGAGATGAGGTTTCACCATGTTGGCCAGGCTGGTTTCAAACTCCTGACCTCAGGTGGTCCGCCCACCTCAGCCTCCCAAAATGCTAGGATTACAGGCATGAGCCACCACACCTGGCCAATTGTAGGGTTTTAAGTGAAAAAGTAAGATGAAACAGATCTGTGTTTGGAAAGATCATTCTGGCTACCCCATAGGGACCCAGAATGGAGAGCACAGAAATCAATGTGGGGGTCAGGCGCGGTGGCTCATGCCTGTAATCCCAGCACTTTGGGAAGCCGAGGCGGGTGGATCATGAGGTCAGGAGATTGAGACCATCCTGGCTAACACGGTGAAACTCTGTCTCTATGAAAAATACAAAAAATTATCCAGGTGTGGTGCCGGGCGCCTGTAGTCCCAGGTACTTGGGAGGCTGAGGCAGGAGAATGGCGTGAACCTGGGAGGTGGAGCTTGCAGTGAGCTGAGATTGTGCCACTGCACTCTAGCCTGGGCGACAGAGCGAGACTCTGTTTCAAAAAAAAAAAAAAAAAATCCTTGTGGAGAGATGAGTTAGTTGTTTTGGCAAGGAATTTTTTTTCTGGGACAGTTCTTTTGCTTTACACTCTATAGTTACTGACTTTGTTGTATAAGCGAAGCAATTATATTTTAAAATAATAAAAAATAATTTTATTTTTCACACCATCTCACAGGCAGTATCATTTCTTTTTTTGCTTTCGAGATAGAGTCTTGCTCTGTCACACTCAGGCTGGAGTGCAGTGGCACGATCTCGGCTCACTGCAACCTCCACCTCCCAGGTTCAAGTGATTCTCCTGCCTCAGCCTCCTGCGTAGCTGGAATTACAGGTGTGTGCCACCACGCCTGGCTAACTTTTTATATTTTTGGTAGATATTGGGTTTCGACATGTTGGCCAGATTGGTTTTGAACTCCAGACCTCAAGTGCTCTGCCCACCTCGGCTTCCCAAAGTGCTGGGATTATAGTTGTGAGCCACCGTGCCCAGCCACAGGCAGTATCATAAGAAGACAGGGATGTCAGGTAGATTTTGTTTCACTCATGAACTCTATGCCTTCCTAGAGTGCTGGGCTAAGAAGAGTTCTGAGGTAGTGTCTGTAAGATGTGGAGTGGGGGATGGTGGCATCAATGCCACTTGTTTTCCCTCCAGATGGTAAATTCTTACTCTTTCTCTGCCTAAACTAACCGTTTCTTTGCCAGGTTTTGTGTATTTTAGCTTTTAAATATTTTTTATATCTGATCCTTGATATTCTTCTATATTTCATTATTTCTCTCTCTCTTTTTTGTGTTTCCTTTTTTTGAGACAGGGTCTCACTTTGTTGCCCATACTGGAGTGCAGTGGCGTGAGTATGGCCACTGCACTGTAAGTGAGATCCTCCCACCTCAGCCTCCCAGGTAGCTGACCGCAAACATGCTCCACCACACCCAACTAGTTTTTGTAGAGATGGGGTCTCCTTATGTTGCCCAGACTGGTCCTGAACTCCTGACCTCAAGCAATCCTCCTGCCTTGGCCTCCCAAAGTGCTGGGATTACAGGCATGAGCCATCACACCTGAACTATTTCATTATTTTTCATTTGGACTTTTATGATAGTTTCCTAGCTATTCTCCTTCCTTCAGTCACATATCCCATCAAAACACTGTATGGTGATGCCATTGTACTGTACAGATGGAGTGATATTTCTCCCTTTAAAGACCCTGTTTCCTTCTGTGTGATGAAGCAAAGATCTTTCAGTGTGACATCCAAACCATCCATGTTTAGGCCTTTGTTTCCCTCTCCAGTGTCATCATTCATTGTTCCCACCTTTTCTAATCTATGCTCCTGCCAACTATTTGCAGTTCACTCAAAACTATCTTCTAAAACTAGGTTGCATTTTATTTCCTTGCCTTTGCACATGCCATTTCTTGTGCCGGTGGAAGAAGAAATAAGCTAGGTAGGCTGGCAAAATTTTGTCTCAAAAAAGTTTGTTTGTCGAGGCTGGGGCAGGAGAATGGCGTAAACCCGGGAGGCGGAGCTTGCAGTGAGCTGAGATCCGGCCACTGCACTCTAGCCTGGGCGACAGAGCGAGACTCCGTCTCAAAAAAAAAAAAAAAAGTTTGTTTGTCATTCACAATAGAATGAGCTGTTCTCTCTCTCTCTCTTTTTTTTTTTTTTTTTTTGAGATGGAGTCTTGCTCTGTCGCCCAGGCCGGAGTGCAGTGGCCGGATCTCAGCTCACTGCAAGCTCCGCCTCCCGGGTTCACGCCATTCTCCTGCCTCAGCCTCCCGAGTAGCTGGGACCACAGGCGCCGCCACCTCGCCCGGCTAATTTTTTGTGTTTTTAGTAGAGACGGGGTTTCGCCGTGTTAGCCAGGATGGTCTCGATCTCCTGACCTTGTGATCCGCCCGTCTCGGCCTCCCAAAGTGCTGGGATTACAGGCTTGAGCCACCGCGCCCGGCCTCTCTCTCTTTTTTTAATTGTATAGTGCAGCCACTTTTATTATGGTATCTACAGATCAATGAATTTTGTCTTCATACTGATTATACTAATCTTGCCATCTCCTCCTCATCCTTCATTGACACACTAGACTGCAGTCTCTCTGAAGTCAGAAATTGGTCTTGTTGACCTGAATCTCCATTTCCTAGCACAGGGATTGGCACAAAGTACATGTTCAATAATTGGAATAAAAGAGCCTCTGTTTCACATATAAGGAAACTGAGCCTGAAGGAATAAGTGATTTCACCAGTGTCTCATGGTAAAACTGGGATACAAACCAGTTTGTTGTTACTCCAGATGCAATATTTCTTTCATTATACCTAGCCTATACACTTTACAAATAATGTGCTTTAAGTTAATTAAATGTTCTTTCTGAATATAAAAATTGTGATAATGGAAATCTCCCTAGCAGCTTAGATTGTAAATTTAAGAGGATAGGAACTGCTCAGTTGTCTTTGGTTTATAGTATTGCTTTCAGTTGAATAGGCTATATTTTTTTGTGATTGAGGGTATAGACTATGACAAGCCAGTTGACAAGCCAGTTGACACAATTGACAATACACAAATTGTGTATTGTTTTCCATGTTGCATTGATGAATCTCCTTTGAATATTAGAAAATAAGAGACAAATAAAAAATGTTTTTTATTTTCTGATTTTCTTTTTTCTTTTTTTTTTTTTTTTTGAGACGGAGTCTTGCTCTGTAGCCCAGGCCGGAGTGCAGTGGCCAGATCTCAGCTTACTGCAAGCTCCGCCTCCCGGGTTTACGCCATTCACCTGCCTCAGCCTCCTGAGTAGCTGGGACTACAGGCGCCTGCCACCTCGCCCGGCTAGTTTTTTGTGTTTTTTAGTAGAGACGGGGTTTCACCGTGTTAGCCAGGATGGTCTTGATCTCCTGACCTCGTGATCCGCCCGTCTCGGCCTCCCAAAGTGCTGGGATTACAGGCTGGAGCCACCGCGCCCGGCCTATTTTCTGATTTTCTAA